ACTAGTCTTCAAAGTGCCATAGCATGATGCTTTGTAAGAATTAGGGGGCCATTTATCCTCTAAACTGGGAGATTCAATGAAAGATGCTACTCGGTATCATTGAAATTTCAAGATTGAAACTTATAAATTTTTATTTAAAATTTAAAATAAAATTTATATATTTAAAAATTACATAAAAAAAAAATTACAAATTACAACAATTTACAACTTAAAAGACTTGAAAAAGAAAGTTTCGTTTGAAGAAAATTTTGATTGCCTATTGAGTTGTTGTGTGCTATGTATATTGAAACGGAGGGAGTATATTCTAGATGAAGCTCATGGGCCAACGCATGCACTTACTCTGATATATTTTCTTTTAAAATGGATGATCCAATTTGGTAGAACGAATAGACAAATACCAGCATCTTTTTGAAAAGAACACTTCTTTTATTACTCTAACTGTCTCATTTTCTCCTACCAAATTGTTGTTAATACTTGCACTAAAATATTTGTTTACTTTTCGTTTGAAGTAATCCCTCTTAACCTCTAACCTTAGTCAAAATCCACAAAAACAAAAAAATAGGATTGCTTTTAAAAGAATCATACTATAATCTTCAATTATTATGAATTTCTAAATATCATCCTTAGTGGACTTCTTTCAATTATGAAACCATTACCCAATTTACCTTCCTTTCCTTCTTTATCTTTCTTTTTGAGTTTCTAAGTATCATCCTTAATTGGACTTCTTTTTCGTCCTTGAGTGTCAATATTCCGAATGTAGTTTTGGTACTTATTTTTCACCACTAGCTAAAAAAATCTATTATTTTCATGCAATTCTTATAAAAAAAAAAATTGTCTAATAAATTGAAAATATAATGAAAGAAGCGGAGTACTTCGAAAACAAAAATTAACGATATAAAAGCTACCTATATAATCCAAATCAATATCAAAAGTTGATAATTACAAAAAAATATTTTTAAAATTAATTAACTTTAAATAAAAAGTGAATTAGGTAAATTGATTAACTGAGATCTGCTTATTAATTAAAAATTTTCTTTTTTTTTCTGGATTAGAGGAGTTGGGGACACGGTTTGTATAAGAAATAGATTTCACTTAACCTCTGCAATATGCTTCATCATCAGCTGCCTTGACTTCAACTTCCACACCTTACTCTCTCTACTTACCCTAATAATCAAAATCGAAGCACCATTCTTTCTTTTCACAATCCCATCTCAAAATCACTCTCCCTTGAATTCTGGGTTCCATTTCTCTTGCTATCAAGATTTGAGTAACCACTGAGTTACCAGGTTAGTGCTTCCTTCTACTTCCTTCTCAAAGATTCAGTAATTCGGAACTTAGTACGAAGTTCCCAATTTTGTTTTTGCTGTTTTGATTTAATTTCAAGTTCCGTGATTAAAGTGGGTTAGTCATGAATATCTCGGTTTTCAATTAATACTTGAGGAATCTTGATTAAAGTGTTGTTTGCGATTCAGTATTAGTAGCTGTTATGGGGGAAATGCCTTCTTTTGCTTCTTATTGGACAATGGCTGCTATTATTATCTGGTTGATGCTGCTGTCCGTTGGTTTTGTTCATTCTTACATAGTAGATGGAGTTAGGACCTAGGACTAGGGCTATCACTTACAAATACGAAAGAACTGATGAGGTCAAGAAAGAATGTGCTTCTGTTTTAGTTTCTGCTTCTGAATTGAAACCTGATGATAACAGAATCTATAGCATAAAACATGAACTATCTTTCTGAATGGAGATTGTTGAGGTCAACAGGGGTTTCAATAATGCCTTTTGATGACAGAGATGTTTCAAACAGATCATCGGATCTTCGATCTCCGTTGAGCTTAGTTTCTTTCTGGGTTACTGATGTTAATCGCGCCCATCAGTCTAAGAAGTCGGTGAGTGTGAGTGGATTGTTGCAGATTGGTATTACCCTAGATGGCTTGTTTTCAAGTAAACCATACGAAAGAAGTCCTCACTTTGATATATGGCCTGGTCATTCAGCTATCTGTGTCTTTTTGAAGGAATATACATTGAATCGAAGAAGAAAATCAAGGGAAAGAGTGATGTGTTTGTTAGGGACAACCATGTTGCCTTCTCGTCAGCAAGAGTCTACTGATCCATGGGGGTGGGTAAAGGAATCTGGTTATACGAATCAACACCTCTTATGCAAGATGATCGAATTTTGCTCGTGCTTCATTATCCTAGAACAAATACACTGACAAATAGAGCTATTCTAAGACATGAAAGCTTAAACCAAAGACCAGTTTAAGTACTTTGATGAAGTTCCTTATGTCTTCTTGGCTGGGAACTTTTTCAAAATATGGAATTTGGCTCTGAAAGTTTGTCTCAAAAGCTTGTGATCCATATCATCACAAGGATAGTCTTACTGACATAAATACATATAGAGGGCTTGACTTCTGTTATATTCTTCAAAGATTCACTCACCAAGAATCCTTAACCGTTGTGCCAAACTGGAAATGCAACGGCACAGATGATTTTTGCAGTCAATTGGGTCCATTTAGGTCAGACAAGGAGATTAAGGCCACAGATGGGGGTTTTAAGGACGTCAAGCTTGTCCTTCAGGATATTCGATGTGATGAAATTTCTGTAAAAGATAATGTCACTTCTGCAAGGGTCTCTTCTGTGTTTAGAGTGGTTTCTCCATTGGAGAATCAGTTCACCGCAGCACAAAGGACTGGGCTTAATAACATGACTCTTTCTGCTGAAGTCAAATCTTCCAGTGGACAGCTTTGTATGGTTGGTTGCAGGTAGGTTGTTGGTGCAGAAGAAAGCAACTGTGATTCTCGAATCTGCTTGTATGTTCCACTCTCCTTTTCTATAACACAAAGGAGCATAATTATTGGCCATTTTCTAGCAGATGGGCTTAGTAGGCGCTACTTCCCTTTATCATTTGAGAAACTGATCCGCCCTGTTGAGCTGTGGGATCAATATACTGCTTCTCACCCATACTACAAGTACTCAAAAATCAATGCAGCTGCTACAGTACTTAGAGAAAATGAGCCCTTCAGCTTTGGTTCAATGTTTAAGAAATCACTATTGACATTCCCAAAACTGGAAGACAAGATTCTTTTCCCATCAGCCTTTCGATTCTTTCTGAAGATCTCTCTCTTCACACATCAGCAGTTGCAGATCAAATCACTGGTTCAGCTAACCAAAGAGTTGAGATTGAAATGGAGATTCTTTCTCTTGGTCCAATGTTTGGACCTTTGGCAAATGGTTCCCGCCAGGTGAAAAGAGAATTCATATCATGCTAAGGCTGAATACACAGAGAAAACAGCTTCTCAAATGTTTCTGCTCAACTTAGTGTCACTGGGACGTCATACAACATCTCTTCGCTTTTTACAGCCCAGAGGGACTGTATGATCCACATGTCGGAAAGATGTACCTCATTGGTTGCAGGGATGTTCGAGCCTCCTGGAAAATCCTATCAGAAAGCATGGACCTTGAGGCTGGATTGGATTGTCTAATTGAGGTGATTATAGCATACCCACCAACCACGGCTCGTTGGTTGGTCAATCCAACAGCTAAAATCTCTGTATCCTCTCAAAGGAATGAGGATGATCCACTCTATTTTAATTCTGTGAACCTTCAAACATTCCCCATTATGTACGAGGCTTAGCCCCAGATATTCTTTCCGTAGAGTGTAGAGGGCATCCTCCGCATCTTGACGCTCTCTCTAGCAATCTTTTGCATTCTCAGCCAACTATTTTACATCAGAGATAATGCAGAATCAGTTCCATATGTCTCGCTTGCCATGCTAGTGTCAAGCTCTTGGCTTCAGCCTGCCTTTGATCACAGGTGCAGAGGCTTTGTTCAAAATGATGGGTGCTGAAATCAATGAGACTCCATGCCAGATCTTGAAAGTAACAGCCGAAGTGGATCCGTGTGATTGATTATACTGTCAAGGTTCTTGTGCTTGTTGCTTTTCTAGCCAACAGCGAGGCTCAGCCAAAGGTGTGGAGATCCGTATCAGATTGCGACAAGGCCCTCTTGAACCACATTGTGTTCCAAGTGACAAGTGGGTACTTCTCAGTACATTGGTAATACATGCTGTTGGATATGTCATTGTTCCTATTTATCCACTCCTTTGATACAAGCCGAAACCTCTTTCATGCTGAGCAGCGTTCACGTGATTCCACTGGCATTCCACCTTGAGGAATGAAACTGAATTGGAGGAGTACATGGGTTTGATTCAAGATTTCTTCTTGCTTCCTCAAGTAATAGGCAACCTTGTTTAGCAGTCATTGCAAACCACTCAGAAAGCTATATTATATTGGGCTTACGTCCGTTAGACTGCTGCCTCATATATATGATTACATCAGATCTCCTGTTACAATCCCTATTTCTCTGAAGAATACGAGTTTGCTTAAACCCCCGGTTTGATTTTTACATAAGTTTGGAGACATTGCCATACCAGTGGCTGCAGTTCTACTGGCAGTAGTTGTATATATTCAACAGAGGTGGAATTATGAGAAGCAGCGAGAAGCACTAAAATTTGGCAAGATTAAGCTTCTACCAGCTGAATCCCAATTTACAAAGAGGTTACCTTCTGAAGCTGAACTTACCTCGGTCCAGCAATCATGACAAAGACAGGGGATGTCGACTGAGTAGAGATTTTTACTGACTTAGAGTGAGATTACTTCTCTTGAAAAGAAAGTTTACTGACTTGTTGTATCTCATTATGTAGTACATCTTGAGCAGTTTATATATCGTCTTGCGGAATTGTTCCTTTTCTCAAATATGCTTTTACCTGTCTGATAATGAGCTACATAATTTACTAAAATAATCCATCATGCATGAGATGATCCAAGAAATTAACCAATATTATTTACTGTTATTAGCTAATGGAAGAGTATATGAATATAGAAAACTATGCTGGATCTCATAGCAATGAGACTAAGCTAGGACTAATGCTCACCATACAAGAAAGATTGTCAAAGCAGACCAGTAGACAGATCATTCTGTTAGGCAAAAACAACATTTTGAGCGCCGTTGCCGGGGATCGAACCCAGGTCACCCGCGCGTGAGGCGGGAATATACCACTATACTACAACGACTTCGCTGTTAAAGCCGTCCAGTAAATACACAAAATTCTAAAAGGCTTTTGAATGATTTAAGCACCACATGACAAAACGATGCGACAATATGTAATCTAATGACTGAAGAAACCAATGATCTAGTTTTTTATTCCTTTTTATTAAGCAGTTCGTTGGTTTCCTAAATAATTTAAATGAATTTAGTTATTACTACCGTAGATGGTAAGTATCTCTTCATCTTTAATTAAATATCTGTTTTTTTGAGCTTCAGGCATAATATTGCCTTCAATAGAAAATGCTATACTCATAACGAAATTTTTTTCGAAAGTACTATATATCAAACAGGTTGGAAAAAGGTAAAAACGAGTTTCCAGTTATATGAAGAAGAAAAAGTAGGAGGAAAATCAATGATTTTCAAGGGAAATGCAGTATATATAGGAAATGTTGTAAGGGTTGATTTCTGTATTCAGCAGGCAACTTTTTCATCAATTTGGTCAGGTGAAGAGGATTAATTGGAAAGGGAAAATGATAGGACATGCATATATTCCCTTTATCCTTAGCTATCATAGGTATAGTGGAATTCAATTGTCTGCATAGCGTGCGTATGCCTGTGTTGTCACTTCTCATAATATAGTCGGTAAAATAGGCCCTCAAATTATCCAGTAGCATCATCTGATGAATGTACCCACTGTGATGTGCCTCTAATTTTATCACGCAGAAGGGGCAGGAATTATTGAGAACAGAACTCTCTCGGTCCAATTAGGACTTGAACGTTATCTTCAAAAAAAACAAAAAATAAAAAACTACACACATATATATATTTGCATGTGTGAAGACATAGGCATTTCTCGGGTTGGGGATTGGCATATATTATATATTATATATTGTGGGAGAAAAGGCACATGGTTGCTGAGGACAATATCACTTGGAGTTGGACAGACCATACTAGTATTTGTTGGAGGATATATATCCCTATATAATAGCTATCCCAGAAAATATCCCCAAGAGTTCATCCACCAGCTCAACATCCTTCTTGAGGTATACGAAAGGCGAGCTACTTTAGCTACATATAATCAAGGTGAATACGCGCGTTTTGAAAACTGACAAACATGGCGCCACTGCCTTATATGGTTCTCACAATGGTGGGTTATTGTTTTCTTCGGTGGGAAATTGATATTTATGTACAAATTTCAATATATTAATAGTTTTTATAATTTAATAAATATTAGAAAATTTTTAATCTATAACTATTGACAAGTTATAACTAAAAGACAGTTTGAAAGACTTCAATAGTAAAGTTGTATTATAATTTTTTTTTTCTTAGGCGATAATTTAGGATTTAAGATTTCAATTCCTAATTTAAATTGTACACATGAGAATTTTAATCATAATCTTTTTAAATCCTTGTAAAAAGAAAGAGTTGCGTATATCACAAAAAAAAATTCATAAATTCAACTTTTTAAAATAAAAAATTAAAAAAACTCAAAATTCATAAAAAAAAAAAAACCCCAAAAACAAAAAACAAACAATATAAAAAATATATTATTTATATTGTTTGTTTTTTGTTTTTGGGGTTTTTTTTTTTTTATAATATATTATTTATTTGTTATAGAATATATACATAACGTGTATTGTGTATATATATTTTTAGTATACATAAAAATTAGTGTGAATTTATTCTAGTAATGTATATGCTCATAAGTTAGCAATATGTATACATTAGATCAATAATACAATCATATATTCTTATTATACATAAAAATTAGTATGTATTATGGCTTTTTCTTAGGAGATAATTTAAGATTTAATATTTAATTATAATTTAACATTCAACTACCAAATACAATTTTATACCCATGTTTTGGGGTGTAACAATTAGAAAATCTTGAATTTTTCAATATTTTTATTTTCGTATAATTAATATATATATATATATATATTTACATGATGTATTTATTATAATTTGATTCTAAATACACATTCTTTTTGTGTTAGAGTATGTATATAATATGTGTTGTGTATATATATTTTGTATACATAAAAATTACTGTGTATTTATCTAAAATGAAGTGTCAGAGTTCTAATGTAGTTTGATGGAGATATTCTAGGAAGAAGAAAGAAGAATATTTCTAAGAGAGAGAATAAGGAGAAAAGAAATTGAAAAATAACCATGGAATAAAGACACCTCAAAAAAGATTCCTATTTTACTCTACTTTTTCATATAACTATATTTTATCTACCGAAAAATTTGCTAGTGCAATATTAGAAAAGATAAAATAACTTATCAGTTTTCAGTAAAAAAATAAAAAATCTTTCAATTTTTTGTATAAAATTGTTCCACTTTTTACTCAACACGGATATTAAATGTCATAATTTTTTGCCCAATAATTATAAAAAGGTTATTATATGCCAATAATTAAAAATGGGTTATTTTGTGCTAATTTAAGAAGTAAGTTGGCATATTTGTGTCAATTTTTTCATACGGACATGCATATTTGCTACTTGGTGTCTTGTATGTGTTGAAGGATGAAAAAAATTTCGCTATCGATGGATAATGAGATGGGTGAGGTCTTAACATATGGGCTCGAGCAATATATAAATCGTAAAATTTTAGAGGTTTAGTTAGGCAAAGTCGTTCTTTCGTAGTGTCCAGAATAGAATCGTCTCCCATTCGATATTATTTTAAAATAAAACTGCCCAAGCGTCATATGTTGGCGCTTAAACGAAGTGGAATATTGAAGAATGAAAAAAGCATCAGCGCCGCCCATAAGCTAATTTGGGAGATTATCATTTAGCAAATTAAATAAATTTGACTATTTGCCCTCTGCTGACCGTATTGTAGTCGTAATGTTTGATCCAATCTATTAATGTTGTCCTGGTGTTTGTATTTATCGTAACGGTGCAGGCTAAAAACATGTGTTTGTTCTTGTGTCTTTTAATTACCTTAATAGTCAAACTCCAATCCTACTTCCCTCTTCCTTTAATTTGTCCCACCCGCGACTGAAAACGCCAACACATCCTGTTCCCTTGTTTGCATCTCTTTTTTCTTTTTTTTTTTCAATAATATATATGATTGACCCTTTAACTTATCCTCTAGCTAGCTAGTAGTCTAGTACTAGTAAGTGCCCCATTTCTGTGGGAACCCCTCATCTTTTGTCCAATGTTTTGTACAACCAATATATCTATTTACTCGCAGAGGTAAATCCAATATATTTAAAATCATCGACCTTTTATTACTTCTTGCTAAGATATTTACCAAAAATTCTCCCAAAGGAACACAAGTAGATATATTCAGAAACAAAATGAAGAAAGGAGAAAGAAAAGCTGACTAGTACTGGTTATATTATCCAACTTGGACGCCACTTTGATCTTTAGAATTGACAAATCCAATACGAGGAGCGCAAAGCTGAACGGATGAAAGTGCCTTGTCGAAATGCTTTGCCTTAGTGCCCAAATACTCACTCCACGTCACTGGCCGATACATTGGAGGGTTTCTTTGGTCTACCAATTTCGAGAGGGTGAAATTTTCGCCTGACGGTGGCACCCATTACAGATAGGCCACCGAGAGACGATGTCGGGTCCGGTTTACCACCGCCCGATGTAGAACACTGGGGTACAACCCGTTTGACAGTATGTGTAGAAGGTCGCCTACGTTGATAACCAACGCGCCACAAAGTGGAGGAACCGTCACCAACCCGTTGCCCTCTCAGCGAAAAACTTGTAAGCCACTTGTGTTGTTTTGGTGAAGGATGGTTAATATGGTAGAATCCGTATGTGCTGCAAGGCCCATGGCCCGATCCGGATCCGGACAAGCCGGGTAAGAATTTAGTTGTAGGGCAGAGCATCCGCCTCTTGGGGCCGTTGGCCCATTTCATCGTCGTCCTTTGTTATTCCAAGTGACCCAAGCATCAGACACATCGATCTTCCTGCTAGCTTTTCCATCTCATTTTCGTATTCCGCAATTACGTCACTGAAAATTTCAAAAGGTAAAAATTAAATTGACTGAAAAAAAGAAAAAAAAAAGTAAGCACGTAAAAAGTTGTAAGTAGTACTATCGGTGGTTACTAATGGATATGAAACTAGGAAACAACAAAAAAGGAAAAAAAAGGTGGATTCAATTTTCAATGTGGCATCTCTCCAAGTGCCCATGGATCATGAACAATCATATGTCCATAGAAAGCATAGGCAGCAATTGAAATTTATATTTTCCACATATGCATCGATCATAGATACATGTTTAGCTCTGTCTGGCCATAAAGCATTATTTATTCATGAAATTTGATTGATTTTTTGAAAAAACTATCTTTAAAAACCTCAATTTCCAAAATTTAAATTTTTCCAAATAAAATGCATGTCTAAACACAAGTTCAAATTTTAATTTTTTACAAAAATACTAAATCTATGATCCATCGCTTGCTTAGACTCACTTCAGCAGTAGATATCTGCTCGTTTTGAATATGTTATAATTTTACACGCGTGTGAAGTAAAAATTGGAGGGATTAAGTAAATTTAAAGTACCAGAATAAGTTGTAATCATGTAATAAGTTGACGGGCGTGTTTCAAGGGAACCAAAAATTGTGAACCCTTGGACCATGAGCTTAGAGAAGAAATTCGAGCCACCCCCATAGCCAGCGATGCCATCTGGGCGAGCGGGCGGCCTTTAATTTTGCTGCAGCGGAAGGGAAAATAGTCTTTTCCCAGCCGCTTCTGTATCATTAGTAGTCTCTGTGATATGTTGTGGTTTACAATTTGGAACGCACCCCATGTTTTGCATGCATGTCCTATTTTGTCCATGGCAAATTTCTCGTCGTTTTAGATCTATCACCGGTATAGACTCTACATTGCATGATCACACGAAGGATAATTGTCTAGCGAGGACGATCTCATGCATATGATTCGGTGAGTACTATTGAATACAAGTCCAGTTGTTTTTCTGAGCTGATTATTGAAGGCATACTGTAGAATTGTAAAGTTAGCAAGGTGTGACTAGGCAAGCAAGTTAGGGACTTTGTGGAATATTA